TCTCTCGAGCAGGTCACAGTGTGAGTGTGAGGGGCCAGAAGAGGTCAAGGCAAGAATGAGGAATTGTTAGAATGAATCACTGAGTGTCAGGAGAGGAATTCAGGGAGATAAGGCTGGAAAAAAATGTTAGGGACAATCATATTGTCTTTATTGACAGATTACAAAATTTAGTCTATATTAAGAAGGTAATAGGGAACTATTGAAAAAGTCTTTTTAAAATAAAAACTTTTTAGTTTGAAATAAAATTTGACTTACAGAAGAGTTTCAAAGATAATACAGAGTTCCCAAGATATTTCAATATCATCTAAGTTTTCATGTTTAAAAATATAATTGTTTATGTAGTATTCTTATATTATGTTCCTATAATTGCATCCCTTTTCTCATGTTTAGTATAGTATATGTGTTGGGGTTTCTTCTTATTCAGAAATTCCAAAGATTTATCTTCTTTATTTATCTTTTCAAATAGATAGTTTTTGGTTTTGTTGGCCTGGTTTGTCAGTTTTTGCCCTACTTCATCAACTCTACCAAAGCTACCCTCCATATATATTCAGTCTATATTAAAACAAACACATGGTTATATCAATGTACAAATGTCATCTTACCTAGTAATAGACAAACATGTAAATTGACTGTACCTCCACCACACCACCAGCTAATCAGGAGTGATATGCAAATTAACCCAACAAAGATTGGGGTTAACTTGCATACACAGGCGTCATGTGACAGGGGCGGGATGCTTGCATTGTCACCATGGTGACAACACAGTCATTGTGCCCCACTCCTGTCTCTCAGGATCTCTGGGCAGCATGGGAAGGCAGGGCCTGCGTGGAAAGAGTGGCTCCAGGGCCTGAGCGGAAAGGGGCTGGGCCAGAATGGAAAGGCGGTGCTGGCAGCCAGGGAAAAGAAAGCCCATTCTAGCACGAATCTTTGTGCATCGGGCTTCTAGTACCCATCTTTTTTTTTTTTCTTTCTTTCTTTCTTTTTTTTTCTATAAATATATTTTATTGAGAGGAAGGGAGAGAGATAGAGAGCTAGAAACATCGATGAGAGAGATACATCGACCAGCTGCCTCCTGCACACCCCCCACCGGGGAATGTGCCTGCAACCAAGGTACATGCCCTTGACCAGAATCGAACCTGGGACCTTTCGGTCCACAGGCCAACAATGCTCTATCCACTGAGCCAAACCGGTTTCGGCTAGTACCCATCTTGTAAGCAGAATGCTGGCCTTCAGTCTTACATAGTCACAGAGCTACCAGTAAGTGATTCTTTTGTCGTAGTTCTGCTTGGAATGTGATCGGCTATTTCAAAATAAAAATCTGTGCTTTTCTTTAACTCAAAGAAAATTGCTTCCATTATTTATTTCTACCTATCTATTTCCTTTTACTCTTTCTAGAACTATTATTAAATTACCTAAAGGTCTGATGCACAAAAATCACGCAAAGGGCTCAGCCCTTGCAGCCCCAGCTGCCTCACAGCTCTGGCTTCAATAGGACAGTTGTTCTGATGGTCGAACTGCTGATCGGTCTAATTAGCATATTAGCTTTTTATTATGTAAGATGTTTACCTTCAGATTTATCCCCAGATCTTCTGTACTATCTTTTTAAATCTCTTGTCTTGTGCTCTAAGTTCTAGAAAACTTACTTTACTATTTACTTTTTATTTTTTTGTTTTTTTACTAATTTGGCTGTGATCTATGTCCACTCATCTACTTACTCCTCTTTATTTATTATTCTAATTTGGCAGTCATATTTTAAATTTCCTCTTCCCTACTTCTTTTATCATAGACTAGAGGCCCCGAACATGAAATTTGTACATGAGTTGGGTCCCTAGGCCTGGCCAGCAATGAGGGCTGATTGGGGCCTTCCGGCTGCTGGCCATAGCCTATCTTCCTTCCTTCCTTCCTTTGTTCCGCACTGCCCCCTGATGGTCAGCGCATGTAATAGTGAGTGGTTGAACTCCCGGAGGGACAATTTGCATATTAGCCTTTTATTATATAGCATATTTTAGGGATAAATATCCTCTCACAATATTTTTGAGGATTCTCATTGTGAAACTTTATGTCCTTCACTACTTGAAATATTTCTGTTCTTTTGTTTGCTTGCCTTGAACTTTTCTCTTATGCTTTTAGCTTTCCTCACATGTTTGGTGATCTTTAGTCCACTGTCATTCATGGATAAAGAAATAGGTTTGTTTAAGTGGCTCTCAAAAGCCCACTCTATGGTGAGTAGGTCTGTTTCCCAAGGTGGTCTCCCTTGAAACAGGAAGCCTGATGGGAGAGTATTACTTTACTGTTACTTATTTTACTTTGGGCAGGCTTCACCTTAGGACCTTTGATGATGGTACTGCAGGGTCACATGGGTTAGGGAATCCCTCTGCAGTGGCTGTCTTTCTTTCCTCTTCCCTGCCCTTCATTCTTCTCTCAGTGTCTGGGGTTACATCAGGCTCTATTCTGAGGCTTCTAGACCCACTTTCAAATCATTCTCATCAGGCAACTCACTTTCATTGGTCAGAGGTCAAAATCCACTGGTGGCCATTGCTCAAGGTAGAAGGCAGGACCTCACTGACTAGCTGGGTCAGCAGTTTTTAAATTAGCCTTAAAATTACCTCTTACTACTGCCAGAATACTTTCTGAAACACATTTAAATATACCATTCTCCTGCGCAGAATCCTTGAGTCGTGCTGATTTTACATAGAATAAAACCTGTTGTCCTTTACAAAGCATGAAGATCCCTTACGGCACATGTGTCAAACACAAGGCCCGTGGGCCAAATCCGTCCCGCCAGGCCTTGCAATGTGGCCCGCACCGCGCTGTCATCACTGCACTCCGCTGCGTTTCCATCACAATGACAGTTTATGACTGTTCAGTAAACCATTCGGCCCGCGATTTAGGCTGGATTTTAGATTTTGGCCCCTTCTCTGATTGAGTTCGACACCCCTACCTTACGGTTTGATATGGGTATCTGACCATCATCTCCCACCACCTCCCTGTCACAGACATAGGGAAACTCCCCAAATTCTGAACGTGCTTGTGGTTTTTGTTGCTCCATGTGTTTGCATTCACCATCCTCTGTGCCAAGGATGTCATCTCTCCTTTACCTACTGGCAAAGACACCCTCAGCTGCAGATCTCGGCTTATGATTGCATACCACATAAACCCTTCTTTGGCTTCCCCGTACGTGTCAGGTTTGTGGGTCTATTTATTTAAACTATATTCTCCCACAAAATACGTAAAGTAACATAAAACAGATACATGGTAATAGGATAAAATAAGTGAGACATACTAAGTTCAAAGGAAGATTAGAGGTAGAAATATAAATACTATTAAGTATTACATGACATTAAGTTCTGTCGACTCACAAAACCAAGGGATACACTGGAAAATTAACTCTGGGCTTCCTGCTTGTCTAAGGTAATAGGGAGACTTAAATGTTTATGAGTTTCACATTTCCCACAAACTATATATATATAAGGCATTTTGCCAGTTACTGCAAATTGAGAGAGAGCTTACCGTACTAAAAAAGCATTTATAAAAGTGACTGGTCAACTGAGATGTTCCTTCCTTTATGCTTTTATTGACCCTCAAATACAATTCTATGTAGTTACTATAATATTCCCTCAAGGTGTGAACCACATATCCTGATTACTTGGCCCGATGCTGGATGCTTCCCAGTCACTCAGTGAGTATTTGCTACACACACTTGATAACCAGATGTTTATTAGGCCAATGTTTTTGTGTGTGTAGGTGTACAACTAGAAATCATCATATACACCCCTCATAAACATCATAAAGATTTAACCACCTGAAATCTTTATAATAATTATCAAAACAATTGTTGGAATCCTATCTAATAAGGAGGAAATATGCTAATTGACCATCCTGCCCTCACAAAGATGGTGGTACCCACAGCCAATAAGGAGGGAATATGCTAATTGACTGCCACACTCTCAAAAATGGTGGTGCCCACAATCACAAGATGGTGGCACACAGTTCTCTCAGCCCCGCCTGGGCATCAGGTGCACAGCATGGCTGGGCCTCCCCCCAAGTGAGTCTGGCCTCTCTATGCATCTGTCTCTGGAGTCCCTCAGTCCCTTCCGCCCCCCAGCTGCCCAGGGCCAGCCCAAGGTGCAAGCAAGCATCAAATGGCAGCTACCCACCCACCCAGGGTCTCCCAAGGCTCAAGTAACCAGGACTGGCTTAGGCTTGTGCTGCAGGCAGTGGCAGCAGCAAAGGTGTGATTGGGGAATGTCACCTTCCCCTGATTGCCAGGTTGCCTCTCGCCCCTGAGGGCTCCCAGACTGTGAGAGGAGACAGGCCAGGCTGAGGGATTTCCTTTGCAGTGCATGAATTTTCATTCACCAGGCCTCTAGTACTAAATAAACAAATTGCATGTATATCTCATGACTCCTGACCAATGCTTTCGGTATTGTTCCTCATCTCAAAAGTTGAGGAGATCAAGGAGTTAAATCAATCTCCCAAGGGTTAACAGTTATTTAGAGGTAGAATTTGAACTTAGCACAAGTGCTTGAGCCCACCCAGCCTTGTAAATCTTAATCTTTGCTGTTGGTTCATGCTTTGGCATGTAGTAGATTGATTAGTACTTGATTACAAAATTCAGAAAACTGGAAACTATCTATTGGTAGAAAGGTCATGATGGAAGGACTTTACCAAAGTTCCTTTGTTCTTTACGGTATATTCCAAAATATTTTCTGGGAAAAAGGCAGCAACTATCAGGCAAATAAAATGATGTAAAATTCAATTTCCATAAAGAATTATTAGGGGACACCCTAATGTAAAATATTTCCAGTTTAAAAAATTGAAATACATGATCAATTTATTCATATATATATATATATATATATATATATATATATATATATATATTATGGAATATGACACAACTTTTTTCATTGCAACCAAGAAAACTTATAATGTTACCATTTTATTAAAGGGCTTACTCCATTTAAACTTTCACTGACCAACGTGTGGTTGCTTCTTACCTGAAAGTTGCCAAAACAGCTTCCCCCTGGAAGGGTCACGTAACTCACAAAGGGAGGCCCGGGAGATGGCAGCGACTCGTACACCACCACACCTTCACTGGGGAATGCAGCCCTCTGCTGCTGCTTGCTTTCCCAAAATTCCTGCAACATTGACACAACGTTCACTGAAAAAGACAAGAAAAAAAACAGTTATTCAGAATGGTCATACTCTGGCAAAACAAAATTTTATTTGTGGGGTGCTTTTAGTTGTGAAAGAAACAAATACTATTTAACACAAACATGTTTATTTCTTCATGAGTATGGGTCAAGTGGCTTGGTGTTCTAATTTTAACAACATTGCAGCATCTTAAATTATCTTTACAATTGAATATCAAATTTAAAAATCTCAGTCTTTCTTCTTTGAAAATTTGCCTCAATAAACTTTGTCCAGACCTATAATTACCCAAGGCCCCTGCTCCCATTTCTTTTAGATTCTTAAACCTGCAAAGTGAAAGCCAAATTTGAAGGTAAAGATGTAAGCAATGTAATTTTAACTGGGACTCGCCTATTATAAGGTTTAAGAGGGAAAAAGGCAGAAAGAAGAAAAGTCTTTCATGCTTCTCCCCACCCAATCTTAAGAATGAAAGGCAATTGTGTAATAAGCAGGAGGCTGGAAAAAGCCATAAGTGAAACTAATAACATGGAGACCTTGTTAAGGACCACGTCTGTTAGATGACTTCAGAAAACATAGTAATGGCTGGAGCCATGTGTTTTAGATTAAATGACCTGTGATAGCCTGCAGAATTTCCAGATCAAATTAGGTTGGTTTGTTTATCCTGTGCTGCAAATTGAATTGTGGAAATTAACAAGGATAATAGAATTGTAGAACTTACAGGTCATGCAGGCAAAGCTCTGCCTAATGCAGGAATTCCCTGCTCAACACCACTGACAGATGCCTGTGCCTGAACACGTGCAGCGTACCTGGTACTTGGCACACCTTGAGGCAGCCTATTTCAACTGCTAATGGTTCAGACTGTGAAAGGGTCCTTTTGGGACTGAGCTGAAATCTGCTTCTCTGTAAAGTTCATTTCTGGGGCCTCCTAGAAGCTTATCCCCTTATCCACATGAGAACCTACCACATAACTTGAAGGCAGGATAGGGCATCTGTTGTTTTTACCTGCCTGCCATTTGAGTCATTCCTCTCTTTGTGGAAATAGCAAAGGTTTTCCTTCAACCATGTCTTCTCCAGGGCTGAGGGTGGGAGTTTGACCAAAGCCATATCATCTATCACCAATAAGTCCAGGAATTTTGTTGGAAATGCTGGAAGACTAGATTCTTCTTTTTTCTCTAGGGTTGGTAGGGTGATAGATAGGAGGAGCTAAGTGTGATGCTGCCCAAGCAAAGGGAAATCAAGTTGACAAGAAAACCAACAGAGAAGTGCAGAACCAATAGATGGAGAAAGACTAAGCCCTGACAGCGACTTTGAGCTCCTGCACCAACACGTCTGCTTTTCCCTTAAACCATTCTGACCTGGTGTCTCTCACTTACATATGAAAATATACAAATACAAACAACTTTTGATTTCCTTAAGTTCTAGATTAAATAATTTTTTGTTTTGCTCTGGCCAGCTTTGCTCAATGGTTATATCATTGGCCTGAGAAGGGCTGAGGGTTCAATCCCCAGCAAGGGCACCTAAGTCCATTGCAGGTTCCTCAGCCTCAGTAGGAGTGCATGCAGGAGGCAACTAATCAATGTGTCTCTCCCACATCAACGAGTCTCTCTCTCTCTCTCTCTCTCTCTCTCTCTCTCTCTCTCTCTCTCTCTCTCTCTCTCTGTCTCTCTCTGGAGGTAACTAATCAATGTGTCTCTCTCACATCAATGTCTCTCTCTCTCTCTCTATATATATATATATATTTTTTCCCCCTCCCTCCCTCTCTCTCTCTCTATCCCTCTCCTTTACCCTCTCCCTCTCCTTCTCCCTCTCCTCCCTCCCTTTCACTCTAGAAATCATTGGGGAAAAATATCCTTGGGTGAGAATTTAAAAAATAATACTTTTGCTCTTTAAAGCATTTTTTGTGTAACATAGGGTCTATATGCCCTTTGACATTCTCTGGAATTTCCTGATGTACTTCAAAATGCTGGGCGTGGTTATTTTTGAGCAAGTCAAGAGAGTCACATTAACCTGGAGCCAAAAACATTGCACAAACCCTTTTAAACTGTCTCTAGAGCACCTGACTCCTCATCCCTAGATCTCAGATAAGTTTAACAGTATGTAGTCCAGGCAAATTATGGAGACATCTAACTAAGGAATTGAAATCCCCTGTATATTTAAAAACTGCAGTGTTTAGTTTTCTTTCCAGCTTTATTGAGCTATATTGTGCAATATTCAGCTTTTAAGATAGTGGTTTGTATAGAAACTGGGAAAATGGAAGACTATTAAAGGTAATATTTAAATTTAATTATAAAATACAAGTTGAAGTGGTCAAAGTGAGATTGATCACTACAGAGCTTTTCCATTCGTCAAAAATATTTGAAATAATATTTTCTACCAGTTAATGTAATTCAAAATAGATTTAGAACTTTTATTTTCTAAATTGTATATCTTCTGCTCACTCCTTTCCTTCCCTCCCACCTTTCCTTCCCTCTACCACCCCCCCCCCCCCCCAAAAAAAAAAGCAATCCACCACACACAGAGGATTTTGAACTGGTTGATTTGTGTTTCTACTTGCATTTGACCTCCAGAATTCAGCCTAAAACCAAAGATTTTAAAGATTGAAGCCTAAAACCAAAGCCCGGGCCCTGTTGCTCTGATAGTCAACAAAGCATATTAACCACTATTTTAAGTAAGTTCATTGTTGAATGATGTTTAGCTGAGAACTAGAGTAGGAAGTTGAAGACTCATGATTATTTAGGTGAAATGAGCACAAGAATGTTGGCACATAGAGCTATGTGCATTAAAGAGTTTGAAGGTATGTACTCAGTAAAATTTCTGCATGAATAAAGGTAGCAGATTTCACATTTTTCATTCTGCAACCTTGGAAGATTTCTTTGATGCTTTTATGTATGTCATCACCTCTGAAGAGTGCAACATATGTCCATGCACACACACAATCCATCTTCCTATTTCTATCTCCTCTGGATGACTACAAAACCATATGAATGGAGTGCAGAGGGAAGAAGTCCAGCTTGCTATTTGGAATTCCAAAGATCCTAATATCAGAGGATACTCTATTTATGAAAAACATGTCCTCTATTTTTTTTGAAGTAGCAACAACAAGGTCCATGGACAATATCAAAGAAAATAGAGCAGAAGGTCAAGTACTGCTAAAGAAAACCATCCTAGTTTGAGAATAGGCCCCACACAGTGTAGAGAACTGCAGTTGCACCTTCAATGCTCCCCAATGATCCTGCCTTCACAGAACAAACTTGGGCTAGCAAGCATGTGATCTCCAAGCCTACATCTGGAGTGGCTCATCTACACAGGTGTCCACTTCCACCTTAATCCACCAAGTCTCAAATGAATTTGTGCTGCTTCTCCTGGGCATTGTTATAGTAGTCATTCTCTTGACCTATTTTTTAGATGTTTTTTTCTTTATGCACTTCTTCTCAGCTGCCATAGGTATGCTTAAGAAACACTCAATATTGGGATGATTTCTGGCTACTAATTATGAAAATAGCTGAGTTTGGGAATATGTTGAATCTGTGCAACATACAAATGGAAGTATTTATTAACAAAGCTGGAGTTACAAGAGAATGTTTGGGAACTGTCAGTGCATATTATGGTTGATAAAGTTATGGAGGTAGGTTCTGTCATTGGAATGAAACATTCAATATTGGGGTGATTTCTGGCTACTAATGAAACACTCAATATTGGGGTAATTTCTGGCTACTAATTATTAAAATTTTCCCATTATAGTCAAGCTGCTAGAAAAATACGTTATCTATGTTTTCTTATTTTCCATTCATTTTTAACTAACTACAATCTGGCTTTCCTCTAGGTATTTTATTCCACTGAAACTACTCTGGCAAATAGTACCCGTTCCTAATTTTCAGTCCTTATTTACTTGACTTCTAACTGTATTTGACACAACTAATCTATTTCTTATAGACAATCTCCTGTCTCTAGGCTTTTCTAATAGTAGTACTCTTGATCTGCTTCTCTCTATCTAATCATTTCTTCTGTCTAGTGGGTTTCTTCCTTCTGCCCACCCCTCATGTTAATTTGCATGACAATCTTATCCTTGTTTTGTTTTCTTACTTCTATCTGCTGTTCTCATGCAATGACAGAACCTACCTCCATAACTTTATCAATCATAATATGCACTGATAGTTCCCAAACATTCTCTTGTAACTCCAGCTTTGTTAATAAATACTTCCATTTGTATGTTGCACAGATTCAACATATTCCCAAACTCAGCTATTTTCTTTTCCATCAACTCTTCTCTTTCTCCCGAATTACTTACAGTGTGATGTGACCTAAATCAGAAACCTGGCAGAAACCGTCATTTCCTCTCTCTCTCTCTAGCTAATAAATGCCCAAGATTTGTCAATTCCATATCCTGACATCTTCCATCGTCTTCACTTCTCAGTTTATGCTGCCGTTGCTGCATTGGCTCCTAGCTCACCAAGTATATCACAATACCCTTCTGATTCCAATCATCCTCCCACCCAACCCATCCTGTAATTGTTTCCAGGAAAATCTTTCTGAATCTCATAGCTGATCAAATCACTCACAGCTTCTTAAATCCTTCCATGAGTCCCTCATTACCTACAGGATAAATAACTCCTTGGCAAGGCATGGAAAACCTTATGTCTTGATATTCTTTCTCATTCCAAACTTCTCTCTTCAAGTGACCTTCCAGACTTCCACACTCCCATGCTTCTTATGTTACTGGAAAGACCCATATTTTCATTCTCTCCTTGGAGTGCCCTCTTTCCAATGTCTGCTGTCTTTTTTACTGGCACTACTCATTTAAAAAAAAATTTTTTTTTTTTTAAGATTCACCCCCAGCATCAACTCCTAAGAAATAAAACCAAAACCAAAAAAAGTCTCTAATTCTTTGCTACAGAAACTGCAGTCCTCTGAGAAACAGCCTGGATAACACCTGGAAACTTGTTGGAAATGCAGGATCTCTGGTCACACACAGGCCCACTGCATCAGGATCTGCTTTCTTTTCTTTTCTTT